GAACCCTAAATTTATTGAATTATATTACAAAGTTAGAGACACCCAGTGGATTATTGTTAGGGGATAATTGGTACATATAAAATTTGAATTATATATAATATTAAACAATTGATTAAATAGTTAAAAGTGACAACATACTAATTGAAAAAGGGGAACTACTTTAAAAGGTGTCGTGAAATGTATGGTGGTATATTGTTACACACACCTATATATATATATAATGAATATAAATATATGCGTGATGATATTGGAATAAGATGACTAAATTATAACAGATAAAATTAATATATTTGTTAGCTTTTCTCATTTATTTGCTTGTAATTCCAAGGACGTTTTAGATAGGAATCTGAATATTTGGATTTCTAATTTCTTCCATGTCTTGAACATTTATTGAAAAAATCCTTTCGCAACCTCCAGCATTGTCGCATTTTTAGCCAAGAAAAATTGAAATTGACAGGTTCTGGGAAAAAATAGTTGTTTTTTAGTCTGAAAATGATAATAAAAATATTGCTGTATCATGTTTGATAATCATATACAAAATTATATAGGGAAAAAATTCCAAAAGAGCAGAGACCACGGGTGAAGCGAGTTCACTTTTAGTATGCAGAAACAAAATTCTAACAGAAAACATGCATTCGAGTAGAAGACACAAAGCCAGATCATCTATATATATAAATGAATGTATGTCTGTGTGTGGTGTGTCTGTCCTTTATGCCTGACCAAACCACTCATTGGAACGCCATGAAACTTTGGGAAGTTATTTAGCATAGTAGGTTTCTAGCAAATAAAATTTTTGAAATAACTTTTCGCCTAAAAATAATCAAGATAAATATTCTAATTTATCTGTTATAATTCAACACAATCTGCTCTAAATATTATCATGCATATAGAAAAAAATTATTATATGCCTCTTCTTTATGCCGGACCAAACTACTCATTTCATCGCAATTTAACTTTGAGAAATTGTTTAATATACTACCAGAAAGGTTTCTATCTAATTATTAGTTTGAAAAACCTTTTTTTTTGGAAAAAACAAGGATAAATATTAATTAATCTGTTATATTTTCAGCACTCTGATTTATTATCTCTGTATTATCTTTATATATATAAAAATCAAAATTTGTCTGTCTGTTTATCGATAAACTCAGAAACTACTTAACCAAATGTCACCAAATTTTCCACATAACTACCAATGACCCTGAAGATGAAGAATTTACAATGCATTAATATTAAGTAAAAAAAAATATTTTAAAATCTATATTTTATCTTTGTGTATATTGTTTATATAGCCACTTGCTATTTGACCATTTAGAACTTTGGGGAAAGTTATAAAGCTATTTTTGTCAGATTTTCTTTTTTCGTTTCGTTTTATTTCCCATATTCCAGTAAATATTTTATTAAAAATTATCATCATTATTAAGAAGGTTTTCAATGTGTCTGTATTCAAATTATTAATGACATTTTTGAAAGTAAAACAGTGTATACGGTATTAAATATGTATAATGGAACAATGGCTTAAAATATAATAGAAAGTAAGCTGAATGAAGACAAAAAAAATGTTAAGAATTCCCTATGAATTGAAATGAAGTGATTTTGCCTATAAAATATAAAAAATAGACTGGATTGATATACATTAAAAATGGTTAAAATGGCATTTATTAAGCCAAACAGTGTGAAAAAGTAGATACAGTAGAGCTTCCATTGAGAGGGTGCCTAAAATCGTAGCTTAACCCGTCTCTCCAAGAGGCAGTCTCTTATTAAAGGTCTATTAGAGATTCTTTAATATCAATTAGAATCTCCAATGAGAGACCACCTACAGGAGAAACAAGTTGAGTCATGTTTTTAGGTGGTCTTTCTTAAGAGACTCTATTTACATATATTAAAAATCAACATTTTCTTACTGTTACGTTTAATTACTGCTAATCTCTCTATATAAAAATGAATGTATGTCTGTCTATCTGTCAATTATTAATTGGACTGAGCGAGTATTGTGAGTTTCATTATTCTATACTAGACGAATGGCCCGGGCAACGCCCGGGTTTTACCCGAGTGCGTATATATTTTAAAAACGTTTTAATTCAAATACTATTCGTTACAATTATAAATTGGCGCCATGGATGTCACTCTTGTGAAACGTCCCGTTCCAAACTGTGTGTTTTTAAAATGTTTCAATTAAAATACTATTCGTTACAATTATAAATTGGCGCCGTGGATGTCTCTCTTGTGAAACGTCCCGCCCCAAACTGTGTGTGTCTTGAAAATATAAAAATAAAAATGTGAATTTTCATAAAGATTTCATCATGTCGATTTTTTTTTTGCATTTCACCAACTAAATCGATAGAGATAATTACATTTGCAACATGAACTTAGGTATATTGACTAAATAGAAAACTGCATAGTAATAAAGATCATTTTTTAAAGGCACCATGTCGTTTTTTTTTAATAAAATCGAAACAAAAATTAACGATAAATAACGATAATTGCCTTAAAAAAAAGAAACATTCGCGGTGATTTTGTCTTGCATTCGTTTATACAATTATTATATACGAATGACCCGGGCAACGCCCGGGTTTTACCCGATTAAATGCTTTTATTCAAATACTATTCGTTACAATTATAAATTGACGCCGTGGATGTCATTCTTGTATAATATATAAATGAGTTTTAAAAATTGTAAAAAAAAAAAAATGCATCGGCCGGGAATCGAACCCGGGCCGCCCGCGTGGCAGGCGAGCATTCTACCACTGAACCACCGATGGTTATGAAAAATCCCATCCGTGAGCTTCAGACAAACAGACAAACAGACAGAATAAGGCAAATATATAAGTAGATACTTTTTTTTTTACTTGTTTTTCGCTATACATAAGTAGATACTATTCGTTACAATTATAAATTTGCGCCGTGGATGTCATTCTTGTATATAATATATAAATGAGTTTTAAAAATTGTAAAAAAAAAAAATGCATCGGCCGGGAATCGAACCCGGGCCGCCCGCGTGGCAGGCGAGCATTCTACCACTGAACCACCGATGGTTATGAAAAATCCCATCCGTGAGCTTCAGACAAACAAACAAACAGACAAACAGACAGAATAAGGCAAATATATAAGTAGATGGTCTGGAAGCATATTAAAATTAAATATACAAAATTTGAAAGGAAATTTGATCGTTCTTGGCCAACCTGACAACCCAGAAGTCTGAAAATGGGTCAGCTAGCATTGTCATCAGGTGTGAACATGTGTACCAAATTTCATATTTCTAGGTGCCCTATAAGTATATTAATAAAAATTGATTACAAGATTTGGCGACAGACACCCAGACAGACAGACCAGGAGGCAAGTTAAATAAAAGCTTTTAAATAAAAAGTTGACCAATCTCAATGAAAATGGTACCACCAGAAAGAGCGTAAAAAAACGAACGGTTCGCGAGATATTGGCAAAACAAAATAAATAAAATTAAATATACAAAATTTGGAAGGAAATTTGGAAATTTGTCCGTTCTAGGCCAACCTGACAACCCAGAAGTCTGAAAATTGGTCAGCTAGCATTGTCATCAGGTTTGAACATGTGTACCAAATTTCATATTTCTAGGTGCCCTATAAGTATATTAAAATTTAATTACAAGATTTGGCGACAGACATCCAGACAGACAGACAGATAGGCAAGTTAAATAAAAGCTTTTAATAATAATAAAAAGTTTGTATTTACTTATAGAATATTTATACCCATTTTTCATTCTGATATAAATATATTATGTTGATAATAAATTAAATTTTATATTCAGAATAAAATCTAATATAAGAATTATATATCAAAAATTCGCTTTGAAACAGGTTTTACCTTAGAAATACATAATTGAAACACAACCCCAATCTGCTTGGTTTCAGAATTTCTTCTATATTATTTCAAAATTGATTTTATTTTGTTTTAAATGGATTTTACTTTAGTTATATATCACTCTGACTGAAGCTTTATCTAATTTGGCTTTGAATGAATATTTTACTCTAGGCTATCACTGATGCTATCAGGAGATTGTGAAGGATGGTTTGCTCGCATTCGCAAAAATTGCTTCCTGGCCACACAAGAACGTAAGGTTATTGAGTAAAATCTGGTTATAATTTATTTCGTGGTTTTATTCTCCTATATTAGTGTTTTGGACTTAATGTTAAATGTATTTAATTAGTATTAATGATATTGTCTTTTGATTTTTACACATAACAATATCATTTTTAAAGGCGTCGACTCATTTTAAAAAGTAACAAATTTAAGACGAATCATTCCTAAAAATGATATATATATTTAAAGATAAATATATTTAAACTAGACGAATGGCCCGGGCAACGCCCGGGTTTTATCCGAGTGCGCATATACTTTAAAAACGTTTTAATTCAAATACTATTCGTTACAATTATAAATTGGAGCCATGGATGTCACTCTTGTGAAACGTCCCGTTCCAAACTGTGTTTTTAAAATGTTTTAATTAAAATACTATTCGTTACAATTATAAATTGGCGCCGTGGATGTCTCTCTTGTGAAACGTCCCGCCCCAAACTGTGTGTGTCTTGAAAATATAAAAATAAAAATGTGAATTTTCATAAAGATTTCATCATGTCGATTTTTTTTTTTGCATTTCACCTACTAAATCGATAGAGATAATTACATTTGCAACATGAACTTAGGTATATTGACTAAATAGAAAACTGCATAGTAATAAAGATCATTTTTTAAAGGCACCATATCGTTTTTTTTTTCAATAAAATCGAAACAAAAATTAACGATAAATAACGATAATTGCCTTAAAAAAAAAGAAACATTCGCGGTGATTTTGTCTTGCATTCATTTATACAATTATTATATACGAATGACCCGGGCAACGCCCGGGTTTTACCCGATTAAATGCTTTTATTCAAATACTATTCGTTACAATTATAAATTGGCGCCGTGGATGTCATTATTGTATAATATATAAATGAGTTTTAAAAATTGTAAAAAAAAAAAAAAAATGCATCGGCCGGGAATCGAACCCGGGCCGCCCGCGTGGCAGGCGAGCATTCTACCACCGATGGTTATGAAAAATCCCATCCGTGAGCTTCAAACAGACAAACAGACAGAATAAGGCAAATATATAAGTAGATAAGTAAAACATTCATATCAATATATAATTTGGAAAAAAAATCTGAAAAAAAAAGATAATAAATATTTTGATGGTAATTAAAAAGAAGTTTTAGATAGAACATAAATATTTGGATTTCTATTCCTTTGAAATATCTTGAACCATCGCTGAAAAGTTGCTATTCCCAACAGTTTATCAATAACCCAAAATAATATTCTAAGAAACAAACAACTTTGCACCACCTCATGAATTATAACTTCACTGACATTGTAGATAAACAAAAAAAAAGACTCAATTAAAAAGAACAACCCTGGTAGTTGGCGACTTCTGCAAGATCCACAAATCTGGATAACTCAAAGATAAATACATTTATTATTTCAACATTTCTTTAGTCTATCAATTAAGGATATATGTAAATAATGAAAAGTTTATTATGATCTATTCTATATACATTGAATATATATATGTGTGAGGTATGATATATACAAATGCAGAATAATAGAAGTAGATCAACCAGATGGTTTGACGTGTTCAAGGGCCATAGTAGTTGTTAGATGTTCACCAATTTTAGAACGTATTAAGCTGTTCAATTTGCCAAATTTATTTTTTATTGTGATGAAGTTCCAACTATAAAGTATTTGACCCCTCTTGAGGTCTTGATTGAAACGATTATGAATTGATTCTGCATAATTTGGGAAATTCTTATGGCACCAAGAAATTTCTACTTCAATTCTATCTTGGGTTATTATCCCTGCTTTGAATAACAGATGTGCTCTAATATTTGGATCACGTTCATTCAGGTATTTGCGTAAGTTAACAGAACCTTTTCCAAGAACATGATTCTGCATTTTATTTACTTGATCGCTACAGTCATCCCACCATTTCGAGAGCTCATTTATAGATGCGATAGAATTTGGTTTATTCAATTCAAGCTTCAGTAAAACATAATTTTTCACCATGATTCTTATTAATGAATGTTTATGAATTGAATGTGGTATTTCTCTAAAATTTTCTAAAAGGATATCCAGTTGAATATCTGCAATTTCCATTAAGGTTTCTCTCATGTCTCGCATCAGACGATTCCAAGCTTCATCTTCAATGTGAAATCCAAATTTTAAATAACAGAAAAAAGCGGAGGAACCCGAATATCTCTGTCCAAACCTGATATTCGCATCAGCTCCAGCTTCGTTTACCACATGCATAAGTTCTCTCTTTAAAAAATATAAACTATTTGTAGGCAAATAATGATTTAAACCATCAACGTTTGAACCTAAATCTATAAGAGTTTTTACTATTGAAATATTATTTCTAGAACAAGCCTTTGAAAATGCTGAAACGCCATCTTTATTAGTATCATGAATATTCGCTCCTGTTTTGAGTAATTCAATTAAAATATCTTCTTTATCAGCGCCTGCTGCAACAATTAAACAACTTGAACCATATCCATCTCTTACGTATATATCAGCGCCAGCTTTTAAACAAAACCCTAACATTTGCAATACTACTTGTACTGGCAAAAAGTAAAGCAGATGAACCATCCATACTCCTTGCATTTACATCTGCGCCTTTCTCTAATAAAACTTTTAGAAAATATTCATTTTTAGCTTTAGCTGCCCGCATCAAAGGAGTAATTCCAAATTGATCCCTTGCTTCTATATCTGCGCCTGCTTCAAGCAACAGTTTGAATATGTCAAGATTACTTTCTTCAATGGCAATATATATTGCAGTTTCTCCATTATTCATTTTAGCATCGATATCAGCTCCTGCGACTAGTAAATCTGAAATAATATAAATGTCACCTTTCGTCGCAGCCATATGAAGCGGTGTGTAGCCATCTTTTGACTGTAGCTCAACATCTGCACCAACACTTAGAAGATATTTACATATATCTGTACATTTGCTATGAACAGCGTGATGTAAAGGAGAATAACCTTTTTTATCAAGTAGATTAATATTCGCCCCAGCTTCTATAATATCTTTACATACCTCTAGGCTGTTTAGTATCACAGCCTGATGTAACAAGTATAAGTCATTTTCTTTGTCTGTGTTAATATTTTTGTCGCTTTCTATTAATCTCTTGATTTCTTCTAAAGATATTAGGGGTTTTACCATATACAATCGCATTGTTATTTAGTTTTAATATGATTTTTGATTTCCTTTAAAAAAAAATTGAAAATTGTTATTTGAAAAGCTTTATTTTCAACCTTCAAGATAATTTGTCACAGTCTATTGTTTTGTTTACGTGGACAATCCAATTTGAAAGAATATTGTACAGTTCTCTACAGCTATCAGTTTATATTTCAAACCTTAAGCTTCTTTTTTACCTATAGGATAATTTGTGAGGTGTAAGTTTGATTACTGTGTGGTAGTTTGCAATTGGTTAATTGATATTCTATATTTATTTGGTTAAATCAGGTTCTTCAAGAATGCAAATTGTCAAATATATATCTAAACTTGTGTATCAGGGTAAGCCCGAGAGAGAGCAGTATAAATAGATTTTATATCAATGTGAAAATAAAAAATATAGGCTTTTTGAAACTCTGTGGAATAATCAATGAATTAATTTATGATAGTGCGTTTTTAGGAGTTAAAATATAATTTTAAAACATTTGATATTTGAACATTTTCAAATATCGAGTTTTAATTTTATATTATGCGTTTATATATATGTTAAAATCTTAAATATAATTATTATTAACACATTTCCAACATACACACAAATTCAACACGCATACAACATGAAGTAACTTTAATTTTATTTTCAAAAAAATCATTTTTCTCACAAATTTACATTTTAATTTCAAAATTTGATTTTAAGTGATATTTTTTATCTTAGTACTTACCAAAATTATTGGCATTTAACTGATTTTACTTTAGCTATTAGTTGCCTATCAAATATTGTTTTATTATATAAAGGAATAATATATACATATATGGTAATTTAGGCCAACAAACTCATATTGTATATAATTTATAACAAGATTTTTATGTTGTATAATTGAAACACATCTGTAAATGATTATACGCATGATTGACATGTGTCATTACATCATCATATGTAATGTACTTTGTACAAACTGAGGATAAATAAATAAAACTCTGTAATAGATTAAGAGTTGAGCTATCGCAGAGATCGAGCGCGCGCATATGGCAGTCCCAAAACAATAAGGTCTAAAGATGGAAACTGCCACGGTGCCAGTGTACAATTTCGCCAGACGATCCACGCCCCTGTCGCATCTGCTGAAATGCAATACTCCCTTTCTCGGAAAAGATATAAAAGGCCCCCGTCTTAGCCAAAAATATAGTCACTTGACAGTCAGTTCACCATCAGCGGAAGCCCTCGTCGGTTGTCACCAAGGTCCTCCTCATCCACCATGTAGACCAGTAAGAACTCTTCTATCTCCATCTTTCGCTCCTAGCTCAACTTTTTATTTGTTCACATAACTTTCTTAGTGCAACTGTTTTTTGTGTGTGGACATTCCCAAGCTTTGCACTCTGCATCGACCACGTTTTCCTGTACTTTGTGAGAACTGTTAAAGGTCTTACAAGGTGCAGAGAGGTACTGGAAAACTCCCCATCCTGACTGTTCCTCTCGGTCAACACAGTATAGCGAGAGTCGACAGGGACTCACACCATACTTTAAGTCGACTGGATACCTCATCACAGATTTAGTCGACAAGATTCTACAAGAGTCAACAGGACCTCATCACACATATATATCACTAGACTGTGTTATATATGCTAAGATATTTTATCTTTCACATTGATAATACGCTAACAGAATTTACTATTGTAAAGTTTGAATCTATTTACTCCAAAGATACTCAAATATACATAACGATCTATAGAGCAAAATTTGTCATTCTTTGCCTCAGATGAAGATTTAATTTTCCAAATAAATATTTATTTATTTTTGATTTACTTAATTTTACATTCGTCGATTTTTTGCCTTCAAATGTTACTTTAAATGCTATTTATCATCATAAATTATTTATTTTGAAACACGTTCTTTCGTATTATTGGTTTTAATTAATTTCTAATATATATAACTAGCCGAATGACCCGGGCAACCCCCGTGTTTTACCCGACTGTAGATGTTACAACGGTGATCCTTAAGTCGCTGGTTCAAATCCGGTTCGAGGGAGCCGGCGAGCACGTGACCTCCCTGTGCGTGCGCATCCGTGACAGAGGCGGCCGGCCGATGAGGAAAGACGGTCGTGACTATATATAGTAATAAATTTTGTGTAGAAATAGGATTAGTTGACTTTATAAGGTAAACTTATTCATACAGTTTGTATCCCTCGATAGCTCAGTTGGCAGAGCTGAGGACTGTAGATGTTACAACGGTGATCCTTAGGTCGCTGGTTCAAATCCGGCTCGAGGGAGTTTTTTTTTTTAAATTATTATTGGCTGCCGGCGAGCACGTGACCTCCCTGTGCGCGCGCATCCGTGACAGAGGCGGCCGGCCGATGAGGAAAGACGGTCGTGACTATATATATATACTAGCCGAATGACCCGGGCAATGCCCGGGGTTTACCCGATTAAATGCTTTTATTCAAATACTATTCGTTACAATTATAAATTGGCGCCGTAGATGTCATTCTTGTATAATATATAAATGAGTTTTAAAAATTGTAAAAAAAAAAAAAAATGCATCGGCCGGGAATCGAACCCGGGGCGCCCGCGTGGCAGGCGAGCATTCTACCACTGAACCAAAAGCAAAAGGTGACAGAATTAAGAACGCATGACGATGATAACTGTATATTATCCGTGACAGAGGCGGCCAATGAGGAAAGACGGTCGTGACTATATATAGTAATAATCCAAACTGTACCTTATCATAGATGTGGTCTTGTTACCTTGTGTTTATAATCTATAATTCAAATTGTGCCTTATCATGGATGTGGTCTTATTACCTTGTGTTTATAATCTATAATTCAAATTGTGCCTTATCATGGATGTGGTCTTATT